CGCAGCAGGTACCAGCAAGGGTACCTTGGACCCAGCAGATCTCCTCTAGTTCTCCCCCAGAACATAGGCCTGAGGCCTCAGCAGGCACAGTGGGAAGTCCCTTCCAGAACAGCTTCCCACCATGGCAGGAGGCCATGCCTGGCTCAGTGACCCCCACCCAGTGCTGCTGCTGAGTGAGGCCTACCCGGGGTCACTACAGTCCTGGGACTCTGTAGCTGTGTGTGTGCATGTGTGAGCACTGGTGTGTGTGGTTGTGTGAGAGAGGGAGGGAGACAGAGAATCAGAGACAGGAAAGAGAGTGTGCCTGTGCACTATACTCACTGTGTGTGTGTGTGTGTGTGTGTGTGTGTGTGTACGCGCACATGCACGTGAGCACTGCACTGTGAGTCCACCTTGTCCATCACAGCCCTGGAGGTTCAGGGGCGTCTCATCATCCTGGCCACACCAGTCCTGGGCTGTCCAGGGCAGGCTACAAGAACGTGCAGCCTATGGGCTCTAGATTCAGTGCCCTATTGTGCTCAGGCCACTGGGCTCAGGTGTGTCTAGAAGAGAGGGTGGGGTCCCCACTGAACTGAGGGTTTGAAGCTGCCCTCAGCTCCTCATGTGGTGACCACCTAGCCCCGTGCTGTCCTGTATTTATTGTGCTGTCCTGAGGCTTCCTGGCTGAGCTCAGCAAGGGTTCCTCTAGCCGGGTCAGTGAGGTGAACAAGGTGTGAACTCATACACGGAGCCCATTCCACGCAGGTGGGTGCTACACCTTCTCTGTAGGGGTCTGGGTACCCTGCCTGGCAGACTCCAGCCCTATCAGTCTCTTTCTTCCTTCTCTTGTGACAACACTCTGTCCCCTCCCCCACAAGCTGTCCCCATGTGACCCTACAGCTCAGCCTGGGTCCCTGGTCAAGCACAATGGCCCAGCCTTGGGCCCAGACATCTTTCTCAGTTGTCATAGTCTGGCTGCCCACGGAGACCCTCAGCTGGGGCCATCCTGTCCTACTTTCCACAGTCAAGGTCACCCTTCAGAGCCGCACTGCTCAGGGGTCTGGTGCACCTGACTATTGGGAACCCCACCAGCCCAGAGTGGGGGCTCTGCACCCTGTGGTGCTTAACCATAAGGTCCCATGGCCAGTGGGGTGTCTGTCCCCAAGCATGGCACACACAGCCACATGATGAAGATGTGTGTTTTAGGGATGCAGCACTGTGAAAAGGAGAGACATTAGTCCAGCTCAGCTGGTTTTCAGTCATGACTCTGCATTGGTTCCACTGTGAAGTGACCGTGTGGCTACCAGGTATGTTCTGTGTAACGTGCTCCAGAGTGGCACGGAGTTCCCAGGGCCCTGGCAGGGCCCTACGTGCTACAGGAACGGAGCAGCCAGGACCTGCTTGCACCTCTGCACCGGCTGACCCCACAGCCCTTTCCTGTCCCCTCTTGTCTATCCATTCAGGCCAGCAGACTCCGAGGCCCAGTGTCCACTTCCTCAATCCATTCTGGGTTTCAGATTCTGAGGAGAAGCAGCGGTGGTTCTTAGGCCATGCCTGAGGACCTGGGGGTCCTGATGGTAGGATGGGCTCACTCTTGAAGCTTAAGGTGCACAGCAGGTTTGTGGGGGCAGCAGATTTGGAGGCACCCTCAAGCATCCAGGGATGAGGAGCGGGAGGGGGCTGCTGGGGATGGCAAGGGTGAGTGAGAGCAAGACTGTGGGCCATCTCCTGAGGCTCCCCAACACTGCCACCCAGCTGAGGAAGCAGCCCTCTGCTCCCCATTTCCACCTCTGCTCCTAGGTCTCTGCTCTTGTCCTGCGTTGCTGTGTCCCCCCCCCCCCCATTGTTCTGGGGTCACTGGGCCTTGTGCCTTCTCAGAGGTCCCTGGGCTGGGTGGTTCCAAGGAGAACAAACAGGCAGGAGAGGCTCAGACCTCTGGGACTTGGAAGAGCAGGAGAAGGTGGAGGCGCTGGGCTGGAAGAGCATGGAACAGGGTTTCTCACCTCAGCGCACAGGAGGAAGTCTCTGCTTGAGGTCCCCATCCCCATAGGCAAGGCTAGACCCTGTGAGAGGCTTCCTTGGGGGGTGTCCTTCCTGAGGGCGGCTGGTCGTTGCCCAGAAGAAAGGATGAGGAGAGGGAAGAAGGAAGGGAGGGATGGAGAGGGAGGGAGGGAGAGAGGGAGGGAGGGAGAGGGTGGGAGAGGAGCAGGGAGAGGGAGAGGGAGAGAGAGAGAGAGAGAGAGAGAGAGAGAGAGAGAGAGAGAGAGAGAGAGAACACTGTGCTGTCTCATCAGGGCAGCCTAGGCCCGAGTGCTGGAGAAGTAGGTGGCATAAATCGCGTGCATAATCTCAGGAGACGACCACTTTAAATCTTAATTGGTTGCCTTTTAAATATCATTTAAGGGCTGGCTTCCTGGCTCTCTCTAGTTAAGAAGGTGTCCTGTCAGACTCTATTACCTTACTGGATGTCTCTCCTTATGTTGAGAGAGAGAGAGAGAGAGAGAGAGAGAGAGAGAGAGAGAGAGAAAGAAAGAAAAGAGAAAAAAATGGAACCATCAGCCAGGGTTTGAGGGTCGATAAAGCTTTTAGATTTGGAGACGTTTTCCGGAGCCCATTTCCTGCGGCTACGAGTTGTTAATGGAGCTTAAGGAATTATCTCAGCCCGGGCTGGCCGGGGGAGCCGTATATTTCCCGCGCCTGTTCGCTGGCCGGGCCTGAATATGCTGCTGTCAGACTCGCTTAATGAAAAGTAACGCGCCGCTGATTACAGTTTTATTTGGGCTCTATGTAAAGAGTGCCGTTAATTTAGCCTCTCCTCTGCTGTTTGCATTCGCCACGCCTGAGTGGAGAGTGCCGTTCCCGCGCTGCTGCGCTTGAGCCCTGGCCCTTCCTGACACCCTCTCGGGAGACGCGGGACACGCTGCTCCTCCACGCCGAGCGCCCCACTCCGTCCCGGCTTCTCCCCAGTCTTCACAGGCGGGCGCCCCGACCGCCTGGTGGGATCATCCCGCTGTGACCTACACCCCCAGGTGAGGGGTGGGGTCTTGGGAGTTGCTCTGCAGCGGCTCCTACGCTGTGTGGCCCCCGAGAGTGCTAACCCCTCCCCTTGATATCTTTATTTCACCGTCATTTAAATGAGCCCCTTTAGCCCCTAGGTTCCTACCAGGATGGGGCTCTTGGAATTCCCAGCCCGGCCAGAGGTCCCCAGGGTGACGAGCTCAGGGCTGCAGGGGCACCCAGGGGGAGGGGTCTGAACCCAGCACCACCTTGTGCCCTGGTCCGCCTTTGCGGGGCTTCCTGGGGCACCAGGACAGGCCGGACCCTATTTCACCTCCCTAACCCTCGCCCTGCTGCCCAGGCAAAGCCTCCTTCTGGAAGGCCTGGCTTTGTCTAGACCGGGGTGGGGGCTCTCACTGCCCTCCGCAGCCGCATTAAAATTCCTGCCGCCCCAGCCTCGGGCCTCAACGAGTCTCCCCCGAGACTCCACTTTCGCTATTACTGTCAAGTACCCTTGACTCTTTATTTTTGCCCTTTTATCTATTACAACTAATTCGAGTTCTTTTGCCCTTTTCAGTCTAAGACGTGGGCTTTCTGCAAAGCCTCCCCTGCCAGCGAGCTCTCGAGCGCGCAGCCTTTAGAAATTGAGGGGTTTACTGTCAAAATGAAAATTTCACTTCAAATTATCTTGGCTGATGCTCGCTCGCCAGGCCGGGGCTCCCGCCGCGGGCTTTTGACAGGCACATCAGCGGCGAGCTTCCGAGTCTCGATAATATCATCCACGGGAGCGAAAGTCAACGCGGTGACAGCGCCAGGCCGGGTACAATCCAATTACTGCGGCGGGCCCTCTCGAAGGCTGCCGGGTCTGCACGGGGGCCGCACTTGGGGTCCACACTCAGGGTCTGCACCCGGGGCCCCGGGGCCCAGTCTACCATCTGGGGCCAGGGTGAGTCCCCCACATGGGGTATCCAGAGAGCCCCAGGAGTACCAATGCCAGCAGTCTGTGATTTCTCTCAGAGGGTGTGGAGATTCACTCCAGCCCTCCAACCATCAGGCCAGCCGTTCCCAAGGCTCAGCCTGTCAGGGCCATTTCAGAAGCTGAGGACTCTGGGGCCCAGTTCTGCCCCACCCACCCCGGCTTCCAAAGCAAGCTCTGTCACACCTGTGCAGCTGTGTAGCCTGCCAGGGGGTCCTAGGCTCCCACCTGCATCTCGGTGGCTATCAGTCTAGGGCCTCCAGCTCCGATCTTTCTTGTGCAACCAGGTTATTTGGGAGACACCAGAGGGCCCAGAGCAGAGTGCTTTGGGCACTTGGAGAGCCAGGAGTGCATGCCTGGGAGACAGTGAGGACTGTGGACTCAATTAGCCACCACCAGCAGGTGCAGATATGGGCCTGGGGGTGCCCAGCATCTGCCAGCTGCATCCACCCAGTTCAGCAACCACAGGAAGGCCCAGGCCAGGCTGTGCCTTTGCTCTCCCTGCCCCAGGGTTCCCATTCCATAGTCCCACTCATGTCTCCTGTCTGTGGCTACTGCAGGCTTCTCCGATACCTGCTCTCACTTCTTTCACTTTCAGAGTGGTGGAAGCTAAAGGCTGTCCCAAAGGGTGGGCAGGCAGGATCGGGGCAGTGGGTGCTGCCCAAGGCTTTGGGCTCCAGGATGCTGCGCAAAGGAGAGGCAGGAAGCTGAGGCAGCCAGGGGCAGCCACACCCTAGTCTAGGACAGAGCCACAAATAATTCAGGAAGTTTAATTCTAATGCAGTCAAAGTAACCCCTCCAGGGAGTCTTGTGAAGGGGGAATTTAAAAGGGGAATTTCAGGTTCTGTGCACCCCTGTAACTTCAGAGTGGGCAGTTTTGGGTCCCCGTGCCCTGTAACTTCAGAATGGATCCTCTGCAGTGGGTTGCATCTGTCTTAGACTGGCAGGGACTTTCCTGGGGTGGACTCTGGTGTGGAAGCCCCCAACCAAACCCCCACATGATTTTTGAGTTCCCAATGTGTTCTTTTCTGCAACGAAAACACCGCCACAAGGTTTTATTTGTTTTGTTATATCAGCCTCTCTCTGAAGCAGGCAATTACTGGTGTGCACATAACATTTAAAAAAAGCATAACTGTTTCTGGTCAACAGTGTGCAGCAGTGTGAGGTCGGTGGAGGTGCTGTTGTGAGCGCCGTGGGTAGGATGGAGTCGGGAGTGTGCTGTGCGCTGCTCTACGCCAGGCAGCCGCCGCAAATGTCTGGAGCCCAACGCCTTCTCCATGTAAACTTTGGACGTAAACTTTATGCCTGGGGCTCCCACACTCCGAGCGCCTTCAGGCAGGTTCGAGTTCGGGAAGGCTCGGGAAAGCAGACTCGGGACCAGGTGGGGCCAGGGAGCGAGTGGGAGGAAGGTAGGGCTCTGCGCCAAAGCCTGGCTCCTCTCTCTCTCTCCCTGGGCCTCGCCTTCCTTTGGACTCTCAGGAGAGAGCCCTGCCCTCCCTGCTCGACCCACGGCTCAGGTGCAGAAGGGCTTGCCGCCCACCTTGGGCAGTGCCAGAAGCTCTCTAGGGGAGCCAGCAGCTGGGGTATCCTGGGGTGCAGTGGGCGGGAAGGCTCGGGTTAGTGGCGCAGTCAGCACGTTCCCGCTGGCCCCCAGGGTGCGTCCCAGTGGTCCTGGGTCTAGGAGGGCACCCTTGGCTGTGGCCCAAGCCTGGTTCAAAGTGCTGTGCCTGAGGATGGGGTCGTGAAAGACCCCATCCACCCAGTTTCTGAGGCTGGTCACTGGGGAGTCCTGGTGCCTGTCCAGGACCACCGCGGGGGCTGGGATTGTGGGTGAGGATGCAGAGGGCGTCGAGGACACGCCTGCAGGGGCGGTGGGACCTTGGCGCTTGAGCATGCACGAGGGATACTCCGTCTGGTTCAGGGCACCGGCTGTGGCAGCAGTAGCTGTGTGGGCCAGTGACCAAATGCGCGGCTTGGTCTCCAGGCTTGCTGACGCCCCCGCAGGTACAAAGCCCATCTTAGCCTCGCAGGCCCCAGGGCTGCCCTCTGTGCCCGGCTGTGGCTCTGGCCCAGCCACTGAGCTCCGGAGGCAGATCCGCGCCCTCTCCAAGTCCTCCTCTAGAGCAGTGCCCCCTCTGGAGGCAGCCAGGGACATCCGAAGGGTGCCCGAGGCCTCCTTGCCTTGAGCTCCCGGGAGAGGGGCGGGGCCCTCTGGCTGGGCGGGGACACGCTCCAGGGTGCCGCTGTCCAGGGCTGAGAAGGATGCCTTCAGCTCACACTCCTGGGGCTCTGTCTCCAGCGGGTCAAAGTCATCCAGGTCGCTGAGTTCTAACTCCTTGTCCTCTTTGCCTGCAGGCTCGGCCACTGGAAGGGATGTAGTGCAGTCAGTCAGGGTCCCTCCTCCGCTAACAGCCAGCTGCAGGCCTTCCCACCCTGAGCTGGGAAAGCTCATCTCCTCTGAGGGTCTTGGCCTTGAACAACTAACACAAAAGACTGGCTGGGATTCAACTTGAAATTGATGAGCACACCACATTGTGAAAGGGAACTTTGGGTTCCCATGGCACCCCAGAGACTGGGAACCCACTCACCCACTTTGTTGCCTCTGGAGGGCCTACCACTCTTGGGGAGGGTTCCAGGGGATGGGTCCCCAAGGACAACCTCTCACCCACCTTCACTCTTGGCACTTTTAATCGGCTCCTCTCTGGCCTCCTCTTCCTCCTCGCCTGCCTCTTCACCCTCTGTATAGGATCGCTTCTCCTCAGAGCACTTGTTCCTGGGTGGCCATGTCATCTTATTCTCCTTCTTGAGGCGCCGGCGTGCATTGGCGAACCAGGTAGAGACCTGCGTGAGGGTCATCTTGGTGATGATGGCCAGCATGATCTTCTCGCCCTTGGTGGGGTACGGGTTTTTGCGGTGCTCCTGCAGCCAGGCCTTCAGCGTGCTGGTGGTCTCCCGTGTGGCATTCTTGCGCCGCGTGCCGCTGTCCATGGTCCCATACCTGCAGACAGGGGTGGGGGTGGGGGGCACAGGCATGGGCTTTGCCTCCAGGAAGGTTTGCATTTATTATAGTTGGTTCACTGGAGTTAGCCTGGGCCTCAGCCTGGGGTGGGCACCACCCCGCCTTTTATGGCCCAGGGCGAAGATAATGTTATTAAAATGACAGGGAGCTGGTTCCTTCCCAAGCCCAGAGGTCATGGCCTCTGTCACTCCTCAGAGCTATTTCCCTGAGCTACTTTATGGGCTTTGCTCCTATGCCTTTGATCCCCAAACCGTAAACACATACTGCAGACACAAGGCCCAGCACCTAATGTGTTAGGTGCTGGGTGGAAGGGGTCTCCCACTAGGTGGAGGAGTCAGTGGGGCCTGGGGGTGTTCTGAATTGAAGCCTTGCCCAAGATGCTGGGCACCTGTGCCTGGTGTTGTCCCAGACTGGCTGTGGGTTCGTCTTCTTGCATTCCCTAAAGGGGAGGGTGCTGTACCTCCCAGGGTGCAGGTAGGTGCCCCAAGGCCCTGAATGGCCTGTTCTCCTGAGCCCTCCAAACCCAACTTCCCATAAAAGGGCAGCATGGGGAGCATCCTAGCAATCCCCAAAGAGGTGTGGCAGCAGCCACAGCCAGGCACAGAGGTGGTGTGAATAGCAGGACCTCTCCCCTCCCCAATGGGCAGGGACATTCTGGTGGCTCCATGGTCCTCACCTGTCATAGGGGTACTGGCCCAGGGCTGGCTCGTAGGGGTAGTAGGCGGCTGCGGCTGGTGCGAGCCCCGCGTGAGTGGATCCTGACCCATCCTTAGAGTCGAAGCTGTTCTGTAGGAGCCGTGGAGCAGTCTGGGGTCCGGGCTCAGGGACACACCCCAGCTTCGCACCCCTGCCCCTCCTCCCACCAGCAGCTCCTGGGGAGAGCCCAGGCCTGGCTGCAGCAGGAGGTTCCCCAGGGTGGCTCAAGAGGAAGAGTCGGGGCGTCAGGGAACTGGGATGGAGAAGCATAAACATGGGGTGGGAGGAGGGAAGGGGGAGGGGTGGAAGAGGGGGCGGGGATGCAGGCCGAGGAGCTGGTAGAGGAGGAGGGAACCAAGCCCGTCTGGCCCGAGTGCGCTCACTAGACTGCGCCAGCCAGTGATTGAGTGGAAGGCAAACAATACACACGCTGAACACCGCCCCCTAGGTCCCCGACCGGGCTGCAGCGCGGCTGCCCACCCGCCCACCCGGGTCATCCTGTCCGCCCGCCGGCAGCTGGGGGCCGGGACCCCGCACCGGGACGGGCGTCGGGGCCTCACCAGCGAGTAGAAGGCCGACGCCTCGGAGCTGTAGGCGGCGTAGTTGCCGTAGCCCTGCGCGCCGGCGTAGGGGCCCCCGTAGACGCCAAGCGCCGCCGAGCCGAGCTCGTGGCGCGCCGTGGCCAGCAGCCGGCCCTCGTAGACCGGGCAGTAGACGGGCGCCTGCGCGGGCGCGGCGGGGCCGGACTCGGCCAGCGCACGGCCGCCCGGCTCGCAGCACGCGCCCAGGGAGTTGGCGGCCATGAGGAACTGCGGGGAGAGGGGCGAGGAAGAGCGCGCGGGCGCCCGGCACCCCCGCCGCCCGGGACCCGCCCCCCCTCCGCTGGGGCCCCGGGTCTCACCGTGGGATCTCACCCGGCGCCCAGGCGTGGGGCGGATCCGGGCGCCGCGCCCCTTACCTGCGGGGCGGAGGAGTAGGGGTATCCGAACTGCGGGTAGGACATGGCGGGCGCGGCCCGGGGCGCGGGGCTGGCTCGGGGTGCGGGCTCCTAGGCGCTGGGAGGACGAAGCGTGAGAGCGGTTACGGCGCCCCGGGGCCAACTTTCCCAGCCGGGCCGGAAAGTGTGCGGCGGCGGCCTCCGCTTCCGAACCTGGAGCCTCGAGGGGGCCCCGGGACCGACCGCCCTCGCAGCGGCGACACAAATACATATTTTGCAAAATATGGGGAAAAACGAATCGCGCGAACCGCCAAGTCAGACGTGCGCCGCTTTCTCGGCGGAGCTCTGACGTCAGCCCACGCCGGCCGCGGACACGCGGGTCACTCGGCCGGGCCGGCAGGGCGGAGACTGGGGCGCCAGGCGCGGGCCGGTAACAAATGGGCTTCAGCCCGGGAGTCGATACTGCGCGGCGAAGCCTGTTCCTCCTTAGTCACCCGCACGGAAGGCACTTTTAATTAGAAATTAATTAATGAGCAGCTGCTCCTTCCCGCCCCTCCTGTAATCATTAGTCTCAATTACAAATGAGACCTGGAGGGGACACGCGGGTGAGTCTTGGGTGAAGATGTAATCAACGCTGAAGATGTGCCTCGCCCGGGCGGAGGGGCCGCGCCCCACGCACCATTGTTCACCACGCGTGCCGGGGCCACTTGCAGACCCCACGCCGGCCGAGAGCCCGGCGGCGCGTGGGCCGGAGCTGCGGAGCCTCTCCAGACCCCCACCCGTGTGGTGCCACCCGGGACCTCCGGGCGACCCTGGCAGAGGCCCCTCCCCTTCTGGGTCACCGAAGTTTCCGCTCAGCTGCTGACGCCTTCCCTCCCCTTCCTCTCCAAGCCGCCGCGGGCCGCCCTCCTTGGCAGCCCCCTGCCCCTCCTCGAGCCAGGACTGCCCGCTGTCCCTGAGCGCGCTCGCGCTGAGAACAGGTTCCCAAGCCAGCGGGGCCCCTTGAAGGCTCGTTGTACCCGGGCTGGCCGGGCCAGGCGCTAGGTAGAGATGTGTTGGGCGCCTTCCCCAGTGGCCCCCGTCTTGCAAGCTTCCTGCCTGGGCCGAAAGCCCTCCCCGGACCCCTGCCAGCCTGCTGGGACCTTGCCCGAGTTCTGTGCGGAGCCTGGCGCGCTGGACGCGAGGGGACGCCAGGCTCCCCGCAACTCTTGCCGGCCTAGGGCTCCGCGGTTCTCGGAGCTTGGCTCGCCCTGCTGCTCGGGCCCGGCTGGAGCGGAACCCCGTGCAGCGTCTCTGTACAGACTTGCTCGGGAAGAGTCCTGGGTTCAGACCTGTGAATAGCCCCAGGGTCACCCTCTAATTAATGATGACGTTTTTGCCCTCTCCCCAGCTGCAAGGCTGCCTCCCAGAAACGAAATCTGTGGCCTCTGACAGCTCTGTTGAAGGTGATTGATGACTATCTGGAGACCGCAGTACACATCATATAATATCTGCTGCGTAATTGCTTTAATTTACAGATGAAAATACGAGTTCTCCGATCGCGTTGGACCGCAGCCGGCCACGTCCGAGAGGCTGGCAAAGGGAAACCATCAGAAATAATGAATAGCCGCCCATGCAAATTATTCAGACAGTTTAGCGTGGTAGCCGCGAGAGATATATAAAGAACACGAGTCAAATGACATTAATAATTGTTTTTGAATTCTGTATTGATTTCGTGGCAGGCCCTGTTTCTTTCTTTCTCACCTGAATTGCTAATACCACTTTCCTGTAAATAATCAGGAAGTAGCCACGGGGCTTCTCGGTGGAAATGAATCTCGGTCTCCCTCTTCCTCCCTTGTCCTCCGTTCCCTCCCCCCAGTCCTGGCCTGTGCAGCTCAGCATCATCCTACTTTCCATTATTTATTGTTTACAAACAACTCGCTCTCTCCTGATAATGAGATTGAGATTGAGATGAGGCCGGACCCCAGGAGAGGAGCTCAACGATCAGGGCACTGGCCCTTTCACTGTCCCCTTCCCAGGCCCCCTGGGCAGGCTGGGCTGGGTCTCAGTGGCCTGTGCCTTGGGGCTCCACCCAGTCTGAGCTCTTTCCTTCCGTGGAGACCAGGTCCAGCTCTGAACAGGTTGGGCTCAACTTCTGAGCATTATCTCCATCCTGGAGTGGGCAGGAACATAAAGTCCACAGGGGACTTTGGGAGGGGTTATGGCTTCCTGGCCTCTCTGGCACCCTGAGTTTGGTTTTCAGCCTGCAGGCCTATAGAGTTTTCTGGTCCCCAGCAACCCCTAGTTGTTAAGAGTGATCCTTTCCCACACCCAGAAATATGACTCACTGGACCCCACTTCTTGGCTGCTGCACACCAACCTCCTTCGGGGGTAGGGGTAGCCTGAGTGGCTTTGAGGCCTTACCCAGCCATACAGGGACTTCGCCACACAGCCTGGCCCACTCAGGCCCCCATCTCCAATCCTCCACGAAAGGTCAGTCTGCTGGCCTCCAGCCCACACATCAGAAGGCCTGCGGGTGACCTGCAGTCTGCCTTGGCCCCTGCCCAGGGCAAGGACATTCTAGGACACCTGTGTCCCAGGAATACAGGGGAAACTGTCCAATGACTTTTGTAAAAGCCCAAGCCTTGAGCTGAGACACCGGTTTAGCAAGAGAACACAGACGAAGACTCCCAGAGCCCCAGTAGTCTGCTAGGTGAGAGGCCTGAAGCAGCACGAAGGGGCCCCTAGCCTGCAGGCCCAGTATGAAGACCCCCAGCAGATCGAGGACTGGTAGTCCAGCTTTAGTGAAAGCTCTCAAACAGTGCAGAGAGGGCCTGAGCAGGCTGCAGGGACTCAGGACCTCAGTTCCAAACGCCAGGTGCCCCAGGGCCACCTGTTTTCCTGTGACTGGTGTCACTCTCTGAGAAGGGAGGCCTCAGGGCAGACAGGCCGGGTCCAACATTCCTGTGCTCAGCCCAGCCCCCGACGCTCAGACCAAACCCCAGGCCACCCTGCCAGGAGCACTTTCCAGCCAAGGAAAGTTGACCCCCGGCCAAGATACAGGAGGGAGTGCAGGTGCCCGGCAAGGGTCTCTCCTGAGGCCTCGGGCCAAGGCAGGCGCCTACCCTGCTCACTGTGGGCAGACGCCTGGGCCTGGAGCAGCTCGCTCCAGGCGTCGAGTACAGCGTGGGCGATCCTGGGCTGTTTGGACCCCGGAGGTTGCGCGCCGAGTCCGGGTCCCCAACGCCTCCTCCGGCCCTTCCCTCCACTCGCCCGCGATCCCCCCTCCCCCTGTTCGCGGGGCGCTGTCCCGAGCGGCGGGAGCGCATTCGCGGCGCCTGGGGCGCAGGCCCAGTCTCCCAGCGCCCGGAGCCTCGCATCCCTCCCTTTGCCGGTTCCCGAAACTTGCAGTCTGTGCGGCGCCCTCCGGAGACACAGCGGCTAGCAGAAAACTTTGTCCCCTTCGGCGCCTGAGCGACCCTCGCAAAGTTTGCGTGGCCGAAGCCGAGCCTACCTGCGCCGGGAGCGCCCGCCCGCGCCGCTGGCGCCCGGGCCGCGGAGCAGCGCGCAGCCCAGGACTCACCGAGTCGCCGCGCCACAGCCGCCCGCGCCCCTCCGCACCGCGTGAGCCTCCGCCCCCCGCGTGGGGGGAGGGGTCTCGGAGCCCCGGGCGGGGGTGACGGGGGACCTGGCGCGGGGCGGCAACCAGGGTTCGCCTACCTGCGAGTGCGCCGGGAAGCTCCCGGCCGCCCGAGAGGGCTCTGCGCCGCCGTTCGGCGCGCGCGCTCCGGAGGGGAGCGGGCGACAACTAATGGAGACATTTCCAGGCGGAGCACCTGGCGAGCAGCGCGCGCCGGCGTCCCCAGGCGCCGCGGCCGTCAGCCGAGCCCGCACCGGCGTGACGTGGGCGAACGAGCGCGCGGCTCCCACCCGGCCGCCCATGAACGCTTCCCCCGCGGCGCCGCGCTCCTGCCAACTTTCCCTCCGCCCGGCCGCCGCGCGGGGTGCGGGGTGCATGCGGGACTCAGGCCTGAGCAACAGCCCACTCTCCGCGGGACCGCGGGAAGGAGCGCGCCCCAGTTTAGCCCTACACTTGTCCTCGGAGGTCTGTGTTTTGGTCCTTGCGACCGTCTGCGTGCCTGCTGCCCCCGCCCTGCAAATGGCCACCCTGCTTTGGGTTGAAGCACTCTGGCACTGGGGCCCTGCCTGGAGGCTACCCCTAGGCATAAGCTGGGCGCTAATGTTGTCTCTTTCCTCTGCCCCTTCGTGCATCCAGTCTCCATTGCAAGCGGCCCATCTCCGCTTCTCTCCTCTCCTTGGGTTCTTACTGGTCCCTGCCCACCTGGGCGCTGGGCAGTGGGCCTGGGTCAAAGTGATAGAACCTGCTGGGGCCTCTGCCCACTCCCTACAAGCCTGGGTCGGAGCTCACCTGCGTTGTCCGGAAGGCTCCCATTCTGTCTGCAGGAGCCCCTGTGGAGGCACCCTGAGCACCCTCATGGCAGAGTAGAGCCTAGTAGAGGTCACCAGGGCAGAGAGGGGGCCAGCGGCGTGGGAGTCACTCTGCGGGGGGCTGGCATGGTGCTGCCAGGGTGATGGCCCCTTCTGCCTTTATCCACCGCCTCATCATTTTCCCTTCAAGAACCACAGTCTTGCTTCCCATCACCACAGGGACTGCAGCGACAGCTGAGTCCCTCAGAGACTGCCGCAGTTGTTTGCAGGTTTCTTCCTCTTTCTGTGTTTCCCTTTGGAGTTCTCTGCAGCTACTGGACAGGTACAGCGATGGCGTGTGTCACTGGCAGCACTGGGGACAATCCACCTGCAGGCCAGCCCACCTCTCCCTACCTTGGGAGTGCTGGGAATACAGTGGGCACATGGTGCCCCAGGGAT